CACTTACTTTTCCCATTTTTTCCTTGCCGCAGGCAATGTATGGATATCATCTTTTACCAGATAAACTCTTAAGCCGAGACAATGAGCCTGACAAAAATTATCCCAGGATAACTGATTTATGTCAAAATTGAATATATCTTGATCTTGACTACCGAGAGTCTTCCATAACGCCAGTACTCGATCATTAGTGAACGTCCATTCTTTGTCAGAGAAATAGGCTAATATATCACGTACTTTGTCGATCTTCTTGTAAATTTTCATCAATCTATTTGGAGAAAAAACAGTTGTTTTTCATTTTTGTGATATTCATACCTATCATATTGATGTAAATTATCTTATTTTTACATTTAAAATGTATTATAATTATATATATAAAAAAAATATATATGCTTAGACCAAATATTTTTTTCTTCAAAATTCTTATATTGATCATCTATTATGTRAATGAACAATAAGTTGATTAGATTATTGTAATAAATATAAGATATGAATATGATATAATATAACTTAGTGAAGGAGTTTCCCACTGAAAGTACTTCGTCGTGGAATATTAAGAAGTTAAAATAAAATAATGATTATAAGATGCTAATTGCTAATTGCTAATAGTTATCTACATTTTTTTTTTTTTTTTTAAATAAGTAGGTCACGACAACATTGTCTTTTTAGCCTAGATCAAATAATAGAACATAATATTTTACTTTTACAATACATTAGGTAGTTACTTACATTGGTTTTTGTCCAGCGATAACAGCTAATGTGTCCAGTAAATATCCTGGTACGATATGGCAAAAGAAGTTTAATAATGCATAAAAATATGGATTGTTGGTTGCCCAAAACGAGTAGTACCAGATTGCTCGGATCGTGGGCCAGTAAATTCCATGACGTCTGTTCATCTCAATAAAATCATTCCATTTAATTGGTTTTTGCCCAGCACTTGAGCACGTGTATATTGGTATTTCGTCGTCTTTACTAAAAATTAAATATAAAATGAATACAATCATATTTTTTGTGAAATTTTATACATAGCCTAAAAACTAAAAATAGAATATATTATTGATGATTATTATTATGCATTTATATTACTGAAATAATTGATGATAATTTTGAATCTCTTAGATTGTTATTTTTTGAATTAGTATGAAGTTAAATAAATTTATTTAGCAAAAATCGAATGATATTCGATACATTGTATTTGTTTTTTCCATAAAAGGTTATCCAAAAAAGTGAAAAAAAAGTATAATTATTAARRTAACAATCATATTTAAAATATATTTACTTATTTGTTGCAGTTTCTTTGGTTGCACATATAAGTGCGTTAACAACCATGTCAACTGGAATCATATCAGTAACCATATTAGAATCACCAAAGTAAGTATGAAGAACTCCTGTACCAGCTCCAACTATAAGTCCTGTAGGGCCGTATACATTATCTATCCAACCCCTTACTGGTTCTCGATAAGTAGCAATAACTGTAAAAATAATATAATAATAACATCTAAAATCTTTTGTATATAAAATTAAAGACATTTAAAAATTTAATTTTATGAACTATATTCCTATTTTAACCTCTAATATACTACAGTACACAAATATTTAAGTTTATTAATCGAGTGCACATAGTACATACCAACAGTGGGACGAAATACTAATATTGGAAGATCTTGCGCTTCTCTTCGGATGACGTCTTCTGCCAAAGATTTGGTAAATGCATAAGTATTTGGTAAATCGCCAATAATTCTTAAAATTGTTGTTGYCATTAAAAATWTATCCATATAAAAACTAATAATAACCTTACTCTTTAGTCATGTCTTGAAGCGTTTGATCATCTTTAGAAGAAACCAATTTTAAAATATCTTCATAGTCAGCAATAGGATCGTAAAATTTTTCTTCGACGTGCAATCGATTACAGTTTGAGTATGCTGTGGAAACGTGTGCCATGACCTAAAATGAAATAAGAATTATTGTAATAAAAGCTTTCAAATTTCAACAAGGGAAACTCAACATCTTCTATTTTATTAGTTTATTATTGATTATTCATAACACAATAGTGTTTATGATAGTGATTATGAGTGGTTATTTTTCACTTTCATATACCTAGTCGAAAGACATTAACTAGTCACAAATCAAAATCATAAAACTACGACGGTTTGCAACTTTTGTTAAATCTTGACCCACTATATTCGAGWGGCATAAATGATGACGCAATGTTGATGGGTACTTTATACAATGACTTTAAACAATAAATACTAGATTTTTAGGATAGGACTAAATCATTAGATAAAGATAGTTTTAAATTATGATAAAATACTTCACCTACCTTAAAATCAATTTCAAAAATAGATTTACACCAAATTATTTGTAATATATGTTTATGAAGTAAGTAAATTTTAACAAGGATAAAATAATCCCGTAATYCACATTATAACTGAGACAACCCTTATAGTTTTGGGGAATGATTTTTTATAGAAAAATATTTCAATRTACAATAGATAACTTTTTATCAATATTTAAATTCTAAATTTTGTGAAAATCTGTAAAATATACGTACAAAAATACAGTATATTGTACAAACATTTAASTTCAGCTTTTAAATAATTTTAAAGCTTACGTTTTTAACAGATAAATAACTATTGTATACATAAAGCYTACTTTACATAAGCTATGCACATTTAAAAACACTTTTACCTTTAAGTTGGTTATTTTTCTGGCCAAGTTTAGTAATTCTCTTGTTCCAGAAACATTTATGTTCATAGCTACACGGATATGTTCATCAAAACGCACAGTAGCTGCTCCATGAAAAATTATGTTCACTTCATTAATCAATGTATTTCGACTGCTTACACTTAACCCTAGACCCGGCAAACTGCAGTCACCGGCTACTCCAGAAACCTTATGATAATATTTGGGTACCTCATGTTTTAATCTCTTAAAAAGCTGAAACATAATATATTTTTTATAAATTATAGCAGGCGGGTAATTATTATTGCAATTACATCATATTGTTATTGTGAATATAAATTACAGAATAATATCYGTAAATAATAACATTATTTCTATAGATATTATTATATTGAATATTGAAACATATTTTTAATCATTATTATTACACTATTAGATCTATGTAGTCCAGTGATTTAATCTAAATACTATAAATAAAATCAGAATGTTACCAAAAAATACGATAGATAGATATAGCAACCAGTAAGTACCTAAGTAATACCTACGGCTGTTATTTTATTACTTATTCAAAAAAAAAAAAAATATCAAACAATATATACCATCAATTTAAAAAAAAAGTCGATTACTTTAGACTAAATAAAGAATTTATATTATTCGATATTTTCTTTCTGTTCAGTTACGATTCAATTTTGAATTTATATTACTGAGTCCCCAAAAATTAAATAGATTCTAAGTTGATCGTGTAACGTCCAATCTATAGCAAAAATATTAAAACTACTTTATATTTATTGTAATATTTTTATTGAATAATTAGGATTTTACGTGCCAATTCGATTATTTCTCTGTACCTAATATAAATAAAGTTATTGAAACATAAATAGGTTCTAATAATGAACATATTCTCAATTGGAAATTAACAATAGGCGCGGTACCACGCCAGTACTGATTTATACTGGCGCACTACTGGCAGTCAGTACTGGCGCCTGTACTGGCATTTGTCTGGGATGATAACGCTTTTCTGTACTGTGATTACAGTACTTAACCAGTACTGATATTACARTACTGGCCCAATACTTGTATTACAGTACTTCCCCAGTATTGATATTACAATACTTGCTCAATACAGGCATTACAGTACTTACCCAGTACTGATATTATAGTAATTGCTCAATACTGGCATTAGAGTATTTACCCAGTACTTACTTAGTAGGTACCTAGGTACTGGAAATCAGTGAAGAAAAAGTACTACCAAATATTACTGACAGCCAATACTAGTGTCTGTAGACCAGAGACCTGTATAGTGTATAGTACACCTATATCTAGAATTATCGTATCATTCTGTTATATTCAGCTAGGTCTACAAACACCATTCCTTACTAAGTAATTATTTAATTTAATACTGAATAGAACTATCAATTATAAATTACTTTAAATACTATCTTACATAGTAAAATACATTTATATGCTTAAGACATGATTTTGCATTGCAAATGTTTTAATGAAAACGAATTATTTTGATTCTTAATTATTATTCACTTGAATTTCCTTTTCATTCCCATTTGTGTGCGATTTTATCCACTCCTGAATAAATTTTATGATATATTATATTATAAGTCTTAATATTACCTAATACTAAATTACTATATTTTTTTTTTCATTATTTATAAATTACTTTTATTTATGTAGAGTATTATTATAAAATAATATAAAACTTCATGTTCTACCTTTTACAGTAAACAATA